CACGACTCCAAAGCCTTCTCATTTCGATGTACAAGCAGAAAATGTCCAGACCGTGAAAACAAACATCGGTTCTATTACTGCTGCGAAATTCAAAGATCTGAAGAGGAGATTAGATAAAGTCTTTCAGTGAGGAATTGCCAGATCGTACGCAAAACGAACGACGATGAAATTACTTAGACAAAAAATCTTCGTTCATGAGCTTATCCACTATCTAGGAAAGGTTTACTAAAACAGGCCAATAAAACTATGGTTCATATGCAAGCTAGTTATAACGAGCAAATACGTTACAAGGGCATAGGTGAGTTAATTTTAACACTAATAAATACAATTTAGATCGTCCAGAATCTGTATTCAATATACAGTCAGACAGACGCATGACGGACCTAAGGAGAAGAAGTAGATTCCAGAAACCTGGATTCCTATTCAAGCTGTGAAGCATATTGCATTTACATTAACTGATGATTCCTTTGTACTTCTTACGAATTACAACTATAATATACAATAAAAGAAACAGTTAACACCAACGTTTTCGATACCTGAGAATCAACAAAAATATTTTCAAAAATGGGATCAAATATATATCTGCAGGGATTCCAGCAATCCTCCCAAGCAGGCAGTCAAAAGGTTAACGGTCACACACTGAATCGTGCCTTGACCTTGAGTTTAGTGAAAGACGACCTTACTGTCAATAGTCCGGTAACATGCAATAAAAAATTAGGTAACAAAACATAAGTCTAACCAGAATCACATAACGAAAGCTCAGACGAGGATGACTGATGAACAAAAGGTGTAATTAAACGAGATCTGAACAAAGGTTAATATACACGTCAGGGAGAAGAAACAAATAAATGACAGTACTGTCCAACAAAAAAACTGCAGAGGGATTTTTATTGTCCTCTTCCTGTTACAAACATGAGTGTTAATAATAAAAGTGATATTAATAAAGGTTCGAGAAATTCATCAGGTTCACCTGTTCCATACAATGGATGGAATAACGTTGATGGCCATTTAGCCTTTAATCCTCTTCTTAAGGCTATTTACCGAGAGGGCTATGTTTACGTCAGCTGATAGAGCTGACCCTTAGTGAAAAGAAATGTGACATTACACTGTTATCGACTCTCTGATGTGCTATTTGTCATGGATTGCCTCGTAAGGTGAAGTGGTAAGGGTCGGGCAGGATGTTTTTATTTGGTAGGCTTGGGATATTCATAGAAATGTGGTTTAGGTCGGCATCAGGTGCATTTATCTTTGCCACCAGAATAAAAGATATATTATCAAAATCCTACATATGTCACGATGTGACCAACTAATCTATAATATTTCATGTGGAGGTCACATCATTGCCTATACTAACTTGTCCTGTCATCAGAGCCAGCAATATGATGTTTGGCACTTCTGAAGAACACATTTGGGGTGTGGACAGAATGATATATTTGATATAATATAACAATATAGTACATGTAACATATAATACTACGATATGATGATATATCTATGAACGCACGTGCATGGTCAAGCCGTGCCATACCGAACAAATGTTCTCGTGTTGTGATTCGGCAATAAAGCATTGATAAGCGTGTACTACATTCCCTATACGAAAAGATGTAGCTGGAGTTACACGTCATATCTTCAGAGTCTGTTAAGTGTGCTATACCCATCACTTTTGCCCACACCTCCATCCGTTTATCAAGTGAGTGTTGCACATTAAAGCGTAACGTGTATTGATGATTTTATTTCAAGCGTTAAAATAGAAGCTCTGAAGTTTTAGGTGAGGATACAACAACTGTATTCAGACTTGATTCGCGTGATGTAGGGAAGTGGACAGTAACTTCCGTTACGTCGACTTTTAAAAATATGATTATGTAATGGTTACGATATGTGGTATAATGTCGCACTTCGCTTTCAAATGCAAACACCATGACCTTCAGTGATTATATCTAAATAAATTCGTTAAACAACAGATTCGAAGACGCTACAGATACTCAAAGTTTGACGACGCTTTTTTCAGTAGAAAATTAATAATCGGAAGACCCCAACCAAGTCAAATCAGCAATCAGGAATGAACAGTTTAAAAGATATATTTGGAAGGTAGTTGGTATGCTGAGAAGCGTTTGATGTAAGTTGGCTAGTTGTTGTGAGGAGTATGTACTTAATGATGATCTGGTGCGGATGTGTGACTGAACGCCTTCAGCTAGAATGTATCCAGTGAAACTAAGGAGATAAAGATCAACGTTAAGACCTACAGAACTATTTATTTTGCAGACTTATTTGCCATTACAGATTCTTTTTCACAACAACTGGAAATAACTATTTAGATAGCAATCATTTGAAAGTTAATTTATCCTCCATACCCTCTCATTCTATACAACCCTTAGACTTTCTGTCTAATAGCATACAAATTAATAATGGTTCTCTCCCAAAACCTATTATTTAACATGCTTAGTTTCCTGCTTTCATTACCCTCATATTAAAATTTATCATATTATTCTTGACGGTTGTGTTACTTTGTTTGGCTAAACTATTCAAATAATGACTGGAGTTCAAGACCATCGTTACTGAGTGAAAATTTATCAAATAAAGTAGATTGACACTGATTAGAAGATCCCATAGTTTCAGCATCTGTTCACGACTGTTAACGGGATTATTTGTCTGCATGTTCTGACTTATTAAATAAACTGTTCAACAATGTAACCAAACAGATTGTTTGTATCAAGGTTTCCCTGTGGGATGACACCAACTAAATAGGCAAGTACTACTGTACGGTCATGACCTATGAAAGTTGAAAGTATATAAGTATGTTTTCCCTCTGCACGTACATTCTAGTTTGAAAGTTCCCAGGATAGCGGTCAGGTAAATCGATTTATTAAAATGTCAATAATTCTCTAATATTGGTCATTTAAAAGAAATGCTATAAAGAGATTAAAGTAAACGATTGGAAGACATGGTGTATCATAAGCATATCTCAACCCAAAAAGTTTGCTGATTTTTAAAATCCAACAGTATTAAAACATTTCAAAGCATTAATAGTACATAAGCTACTGTGCGAACCAGTAATTCCATGAACAAACCATTATGTATGCAAATAGTCACGACTGGATCAGAACTGAAAACAGCTAACTCATTTATATGTATTGTATTTTGAAATCGGGATAGCTCAATTGTGTTTACAAGACAAGTTATTCACAGATTAAGTTATCAATTATCTTTACAAAGTGTGATACTATCTATGAGATTTTTATATTATTAGGTACAACTTTGTGGCGTGGGTCGAGTCGCAAATTATTGAACACCACTACAAGAAGACTACGTGCCAGTTAACCGATAAAATCCCCTGTAAGCCAAATATCAGAAGGCAGTTGATGGCTGTAGTCGAGATGTATTTGTTGACGATCTCGTGGTCTCGAAAGGATACCGAGATCGTGCCAAAGGAGTACAAGCGTGGTTACCCAGCGTAACCAAACCCGTGCAAGGTCACAATCAATCGAAGGATAATGGAGCAGTAATATAACTGTCTTTAGAACAGTTAAACAAACGAGCACAGTAAAACAATCACTGGTACAATTGATTATAATAATGATTGTTTCCATTAAATCAATCGCGTTCTCTTGATAAAAGTAGGTCACTACAACCTCATGAGGAGCTTTGAATGTACAGTGTCAGAAAATTTCAAACTAGAACAAAATCTTCACCCAACAGTACTCCATAATATTCTCTATATTATAGCAACTTACGTGCAATTGAGTTTGTTCTCATTTAATTCGGCCAAGCCGTTTTGTTAACTTATTTAGCAGACAGAGCCATCCGTAATATAACAACTTATTGTACCTTTATTATTAATTGTTTGTTTGAAATATGTAGGCTTGAATATTACTTACCGCCTACGCATATATTCATTCTGCTAGCTTTATTATTAACTGCTTAATTGATTAGCCGATCCATTCATTTCCCTATATATATACATTTAACACTCAACACTCTCGGTCCGCTGACTCACTCATCCACATCATTGCTTTGTGATCTGAGTTATCTGCTAATAAAAATGTAGTCTCTACTTCTCTTTGCCTTCTGATTTCAAACACCGTTGAGGATTATATGATAACGCTTACGAGGGTGATTAGTCAACGAAGCACAGCCACTACAATATAACCTCATTTCTGTATCATAAATGATCGTCTAATTTAAGTTTCAAATCATTTGTTACACAATCCTATCTGAGATTTAGTTTTGATTAATAATATCGTGTTGTCTTATATATATCTTTTAGTTACTTACTTACGCCTGCTACTCCTAATGGAGCATAGGCCGCCAACCAACATTCTCCAACCCCCTCTGTCCTGGACCTTCTTTTCTAATTCCATCCAATTCTTTTAGTTACTATACATGAAATCTTAGAGTAAAATCAAAGAAACAATATTAACAGAATAGAATCTTCTCAATTTGTATATTAGATGAAATACTAAACATAATTATGTTTTTTTTAACGATATATGACATAAATAATAGTTTGTTGATTTATTTCATATAAAGTTATTTAGCCTATGGCTACATAAATTTGAAGAAAAGCAATTCCCAAAACAATTACTATTAATAACAATAACAATATTAATATAATAATAATAGTAATAATAATAGTAATAATGATAATGGCTAATTTAATTAGTTATCAGATATATAACGTTGATGTAACACAATTCATTACTTATTTACTTATAATAGTGTAGCGTCCGTTATTATTATTATTATTATTATTATGATTATTATTATTATTATTATTAACTAATCTGTATACTTGTTCTATTCAATATGTATATATAGGATCGTATCATTAGGTAATGTTACTTGCCTATTAACCTATTTCAACCAATCAAAATATTTTGATGAAAGAGTATATATATATACAATTTTGTTTTAAATGAAACAGTATTATTTGTCAATTATAGTATAAAATACATTTAATAATATTAAATTATTTTATTTTATTATTGTTATCATTTATCATAATGAATAGTAATCCGTCAATACGATCTAATACATTGAAGCACTCATTATGTAATAATCTTTATTCATCATTTATAACAAATACATCAGATTTAACAACAACTATGATGATGATGTTGAATCGAAAAAAAGGAACAAATTCAGCAACAATAACAACAACAATAACGACACCACTAACAACGACAACAACAATGACGATGACAACAATAAACCAAAAAGACAACTTATCAATGATAATAGAACATAAACCAATATTTAATCATTATCAGACTACTACTAATATTTTATCGATTAATAATAATGATAATAATATAACTGAAAATCAGTTGAATCTTTATAAAAAACAATATTCTCGTGAATATCAACGTTATAAACGTGCATCATTACAATATCGTTATGCGCATGCAGCACGTGAACGTCAACGTGTAGCGGAATTTAATAAAGTATTTAAAAAATTACAGAATTTATTACCAATTCATAATTATTTATCATCAAATCGACGTTTATCTAAATTGCAAATACTTAAATTATGCTCTTCATATATTTATTATTTAACTTGTTTACTTCAAAATAACAATAATAATAATAATTGTCATTATTCGACATTCAATGTTCAATATTGAAATAAATGATTTGTATTGGATACATTATTGAGTATAATATGAATATTTAATTTTAGTTACTTTTTTTGTCTTTTGAAATACTTCGTTGAATAAAGTAATTACTATTTCAGAAGAGGTTATTTTTTCTTGTTGTTGTTGGATATTATAGTAATTGTAATAATTTCAGTGGTTAAGATCATGAGTCAGTTGAAGCTAGACCACCATGGAAAACCTGGAAGCACTGGAAGGCCGTTTCGTACTATTGTGGGACTCCACAGAAGTGCGCATCCATGATCTACTGGTTTCGCACGCGAGCACTTAAACACTAGACCACTGAGCTGGCCGGCATCCAACGGTGTTAATGTCTAACTTCAACTAATCCACGAAATTGAGCGACACATCCACCATTGTCTTCAGTGAGTTACTATCTCACAACAGATCTGGTTGAACTCCACTGGACACTACTTCTCACTAGAACTTCAGGATATACCTCGTGAGCCAGTCACTAGTGAGCATATGTTGATTAATATCAGATGGGTTTTGTGGAGATTGTAGTAATTTCAATGGTTAAGATCATGAGTCAATTGAAGCTAAACCACCATGAAAAACCTGGAAGCACTGGATGGCCGTTTCGTCCTATTTAATAGTCAGTTAAATGTAAGTAAAGATCAAAAGATCTTATAGAAACTCTATGAATATTTGTAAAATCATTTATCACCACTGTTCTGTTCTTAATACAAACAATTATATATTAACATCTGATAACTTTCCCAATTATGAATGAAAATATAAATATCATATTGGACATATGATTAGTGTAATTCGAATAGTCTACACTGTCATATGAATAGATATCCTTATTCTGGTATTAATCCAAAACTGATGAAACGGCCGTCCAGTGCTTCCAGGTTTTCCATGGTGGTTTAGCTTCAATTGACTCATGATCTTAACCATTGAAATTACTATAATATCTACAAAACCCATCTAATTTTAATAGTTGAAATCATGAGTCAATTGAAGCTAGATCATTATGGAAAATCTAGAAATATTGGATGACTGTTTTGTTCTATTTTGTGGAATTCCTCAGCAGTGTATATCTATGATCCCATCTCGTGAGATCCGAATCCAAGACCTATTTCATGATTATTAATCTAGTTCATAGTTATAGTGTTTTGATATACGAGTTATAAAATAGATAAACATTCTGTTTATAAATATTCATTGGTTCAAATGTTTTTAGTTAATAACTGATAATAATTTTATGATAAGTTAAGAGGAGAAGGTGAGTTCATGTTTTTTGCCAACATGATGTGATATTTTATGATGTTAGTTTTATTCTCAGTGTGATACTTTGATATTGGTGTTAAGTTTGTCTTAAATGGTTCCTACTCACTCCCTTTCCACTCTTCTGTATATTGTCTTATACTACTTATTTACATTGAGTAAGCAGTGTATTCCCAATAATTTTCAAACTTATGTTGTAATGCAAATTGTAGTGTAATGCTCTGAAATGTTCACATATACTTATAACGTTTATTGGACTTATCATTGTATTTATCATTATAATAACTGTACCTTAATCGCTGTGGCGGTTATCCACAGTTTTGTGCATTGGTTAAACTCAACAGTTTCCATATTGTTTCGCTCTTGGTTCGGGTTTCGATTGTTCATAAACTGTTATCAAATTTAGACACAGCTATTAGTTGTCCTTTGTACTATCGTATGTTGTAATCATTCTTTGTGTTACTGTTGCAAGAAGCCTTTTTATTTCATACTTGAAGGACGCGTTTAAACGCCCCAGACACCTCACAATTTGAGGTTTGTAACTGAATTTTGTTTATTATTCAATAAAGAACCGCTATTGTAGACAAATCGTTGTTTCGGAAACTTCGGCTTTGCGCGTATCTCAATCGGGTGACTTGGACGCTTCGATAGATCTAACAATTGGTTTAATTCTTAGTAAAACATTTTGGTCGGTACTACATTAGTTTTATATTTTCTAGTGTAATATTACTCTAGGTCAATATATCTGTATCGATTAACTGTTCTGTTCAGCATGACATGCATGAACTTTAGCCCAGTATGGCAGTTATATCTTTTATATTATTTTGTACGTACGTTGTGTTTTACGGTAACCTTGTGTATCATTTCATGTATTTAATGTTTATTAGTTAGTCATCAAGTGTTTATAACATCAGAATATATATGAGTGTATTTGGTTTAATAATGTAATTATGGACAACTTGTTTTGGGGATGTAATTTTAGCGAGTCAACAAATCTTCATTTGTACCAATCTTTGTGTGGTGACTTCACACCGCGGGAATAAGAGTGGTTTGTTTTTCTAAGTATAAGCAGTAGGATCCAACAATAGACCCGACATGTACATAACAAATTCGAGGCTCATGTAGCACTTTAAAACAATAGCTATTGAAATTTCCACTTAAAAAGTAATTGTTTTTTGGACGTTTAAAATCTTTGACGTTAACACCATACACATTGATAACTTATCAAGAGTATTACTTACTTACTTACTTACGTCTGTTACCCCTCATGGAGAAGTATAGGTCACGCACCAGCATTCTCCGTCAAACTCTGTCCTAGGCAATCCTTTCCACTTGTTTCTAGTTTCTGTCCATTTTTTTCATGTCTGCGTCCAATTCCAGACGTACTGTGTTCTTTGACCTTCCTCTTTTCCTTTTCCCTTCAGGATTCCAGGTTATCACTTGCTTCGTGCTATACTTTAGATAAGATAAACATTTTTTTCAACATCATTCCAAAAATTACAAGCTAATGTAAAATTCTAAAAATCTGTTTTAAAATTCTGTCAAGATTTATACATTATTAACAGAAAAACCATAAAATCAAATAAAATTATAGACAATAGTAAAGAGTTGAGTGGACTGGTTTTGATAGCATTGCTTTCATCAGAATCGCTGATTTGTCGTTGCCTTAAGTCACAAGCATTATAAGCAGAAACGAGTGGTAGCTAGCAGTGAAATCCAGGACGAGAGTTTCGCCTCATGTTGGACTTATCAGCTGGATGTGCCTGTATCGCAGAGATGATGTTCATTCAGGAACCCTAATAGTGACCTGATAGAAATCTCCCTATGGGTCTACAAAAACAGTTAGTTCCTTAATGCACGAACAGAAAAGTTGGGAAGACCAATTTATCCTGTAGTGCAAATTATGGAATTTTTTGGTAAAATATGAAAACCATACGTTATACTTCATTTGTAAGTCTTCCATCACTTGTCTCAAACTTCGTCGCTCCTTCATTGTTATTACTTCCTGTTTACATTTCAGTTCTCTTCAGTCCGATCTTTGCAACCTTCCGCTATCAGGCTTTCCATATCCCATTGGTGTTAAATACTGCTTACGTCGACAGACATAAGTAGCATAGACCACAATTCTATGGGTTACAGGAAAACTGGTAATTTATATTAACTCCTTTCACGATGGAAATATCAAAATAAATCACTATTCTATCCAGTAAAACTTTTGCATGTTTTCATGCTCTCTTTAGCACGTAACTATCTGGCTTTTCTTACAATTTCTGTATACCTGTATCATCAAGACTTTCCGAAATATTGTAGCGGTAAATAAATCCCCAAAATAAATAGCTCTGTAAGTTTTCGACATCGGATGCTGACCACATTAGTTTTAATAGACTCACGTAGATGAAGGCGCTTGGTCATGTATCCTCACCAGATCACGAGTGGGAACGCCGCGCTCAACATCCTCTGCAATCGTTAACCAGATTAGATCAGTAGATCCTCTATATACTGATAGCCTTTCAAATATATCTTCGAACCTCCTCGCTTCTGTCTTTTGATTCCACTTCGTAGGTACGATTCATAAAAAAAGGTGTTGCTGGTCAGAGTGTTGTCAAACTCCGAATACCTGTGGCATCTTCAATATATTCATTGCTCACATTTTGTTTTTCGAAGTTGGTGTCATCAAAAATAGAGAATCTCAGTGGTATCTGCGTTTTACTAAGATGGATTGTTGAATCGCAAAGGTACCATTACCCTGGTAAACGATATCATCAGCGACTACTTTACACGCGAAGGGCTTTGCAGCTCACCACCTGGTTGGTATAACTTATTATGATTATTGTTCTACATATATTGGTGTAGAGATATTATGATAAACTAGTTTTGAAAATATTTCTTCTCTCTTTTCGTCTTTTTATCGGAAAACACTAAATAAGTTAAGCATGGTTATTGTGGCTTGTGATTGGTTGTTTCTATTCGCCCTTATATTCTTGTTGACTGTCTTCATTGATTGACATCTAACAATTTAACCGAATGACCATTTAAGGATGGGTTGATAGACTGGATATACAAAAGTCAGTCCATATATCACCTACCAATCTCATTGTCATGATTCTTGAAATTCTATGTCATTTTTTTAGAATTTCTTCTAACTAGAATGTATCCATTTTCTTAATCGAATTTATGTCCGTGGTTACTTACGTGTATGAATATGAGTACTAACCAATCACGTTCCTACAATGAGAAACAATGTCCGTGCAAAAACATTCCAAACAATCAGTGGAATATAATGTTGTGTGTGCCACTGATGGCGACAGACATAAGTAGTATGTATCACTAATCGGAATTGAAATCCCTGGTGGCAGAAGGTTAAGAAGATCAGAGACAAGAGAACGAGAACAGAGAGTGATTGTTGTGGAAACGAAGAAACAATGAAGTATTTACTATATGGCTCTCAGAGTTTACTAAGACGTTCTGTAATTTGTGTGTTCACATATATTCGATTGTCCCTACTTGTGTTCTCGTTCACTACAATACGATAAGTAATAATCTAGAATAAGGAAAGAAGATCGTGATTGACGCAGATATTATTAATTATGTTGTTCATTGTCTTTTCAGGACAGTAATTCAAAAATAGCCTTCTTGTGTGCTGTCAATAAAGTGATTTACATGAATAAACAGGTCAGGTGATATTATTAAATGTCGTATATCTTTCACGTATCTCAAACACATAAGATAACGATCCAAAATTTTCAATCAAGGAATTGATAATAGTTTTTTGCATGAATTGATTCCACGCTTGGATGATGTGAGGACGGCCCACATTTGAACTCGAGGATACTATATGAAGCTCAGAAAGAGCCGAAGATATTTCATCCAATTATCTTCCGGAAGAATATTCCAGGATCTCTACGTGTAGCTTCCCTATTGGATAAATGCTAAAATACCCCTGTATAAGAAATGAATGATTATGATGATCATTTCGTTTTTACTAAAAACTATAAATACCTGACGGTTTTGTACCAAATTTGGCACTATTTGGACTAGCATTCCTTCCACCTATATTCTGTATTCTCATTTGCGACTGGGAGAGTTCTAGCGTTCGAGTGCTCAAGTTGCAAACGGTATATCAAGAACCTAAGCTCTAGATATAACAGACAGTAAATCTCTTAGCATATTATGTTATTGATTGGAATATGATACAAATTGATGAAGAAATCAGGACAGCTTGTATGTTTCCTAGTATACATAGTGTTGTACGAGAGAAGGCAATCAACCTAAACAAAAGTAGATCGCACAGAATAGCTACTCTGCGAATTTCATAATGATATTGAAGTATAGAAATTTTACGAAAAAAGTGATTAAAATCAACTCCATAACACATGGTGATATTTGATTGATGATGAAAAGAGAAAGGTTAGATAGGGGACACAAGGAGCATTCTTGAAGTACGAAAGGGCTGTTTCATTCTAGTTTGCAACTTCATTTAAATAGACACTGAAATGTTTCGTAACGTGCTCCAGTTATTATCAATCTTCGATTTCATAAGCCATCGTCTTAAATTAGCAGATATTTTAATAGCCAATAACTCACATTATAGCTTTATAATGACAAAACGTATCAAAACTAAGCAAAATACCAAAGTCCATATTCGTTATTGCTCCCAATAATCGAACACTACGTTATTCATACTGAATACAAAAGTAAATATTCTTTAATTCATTCTCATCTTCATTAGCAAATTTTATTTTGAGTAGATCTTATTTTCTAAAGATACTTTAAAAAGGAAGTAAATGAAGTTAAAACTCAGAACCTATTTCGGAAATGGAATATGAACTTCATAGTATTTTGTGGCATTGTATTATGTGAAGTCAATCCATAAGAATATTAATTTGGTTCTGTAATCGATTACATAAATTTACCTACTGGCAACATTCAAGTAGTATAACAATCAATTAGTAAAATCTGGAGTTAAGAAGACAAAATCAAGTAACTAAGAATAAAGCAGTTCAATATGTGAGGAAAAGAGTATTTCAAGTGATTTCTCAATTCTACATATCAAAGCACACTCCAACACACTTCCACATCTCTCACTGATTTAAATCACTTCAAATAGGTACTTTCACCAGCTAACTTTGACTTATTCATTTCTCTTCACCGAGATTCCCATATCATCAGTAACCAATTTTCGACGTGGTCCTGACTACTCATCTAGTTTTCTCTTAACTTGTCAGAAGAACGGTGATCAAAAATTGAATTTCTGTACTTCAACATCAACCACAATCAACTATTACCACATTCACACACTGTCGTGATTCAGTGAATATCTAATCAATTGCGTGCATCGATCAGTGCCAAATATAGACACTATACAATTTCAAATCATATTCATCTTTACAATAATCTCATTACATATGGTATAATACACTTGGTGTGTTGCTCCGTGGTTGTGATTGTCGTCTAGTTATCCACCAAAATAATGTTTTCTCCAATCAACATAACCACTCAAATTGTCCATTCCTTCCACCGACAACACATCACATCACGTTGTCAAACTTCACACCAAATACACATGTTCACTCAGTCACCAATACATATACTCTACATTTGATCAATTCAATTCAGTTCCATAGAGGAATCCGACTGACTGTGTAAGAAGATCTAGTTTGTGAACCATGGTAATAATAACTCGTGTTTAATCATCCATAGATCGTCGATATGTGGGTGCAAACAATTTGCAAGAGCTGATAGCCCATTTCCATAATGTGTCTCATCAACTCACTCACACTAGTATGGCTTCGTTATACCAATTCGGTGAGTCGCGTCACTTGTGGAAGCCACTTCTGTTCTGTTCTGTTCGGTGAGATTTGGATCATCGGAATCATGTTGATTCTCACTGTATTTTGTTGCTCACAAGAAAACTCGATATGATTGTGTGGCAATCTCCAATGAAGCATCTAAACGTGAAATCGAAACAACGAACAGATGCATAGTTGAACGAGATTCGAGAAACAAACTCCCATACTTCCATACTCCCTAACTATTCCAAATCGTCTCACGAATTCCATTTGATTGTTAGTGACTAGCGACATGTCTCATAGTTACAAGATCAAAACACACATGATTATTCCATTTGAGTATGGATAAGCACTGTATTCATCAGTTGTTACAATGATCGTATTCAGGTTTGTATTGATTAGTTGTTGTATCAAGTGATGATGCGTACTTGAAGAACACACATTAAGTATTCAGTCAACGTGAAATGAGAGATGAAAGCGTCATTTCGTGATAATTGAACATTATAAATAACGTCAATCAATATACACAAATATGTTAATGATATAGAAATACCTTGACAGTTTACTAACTCAACACAAAATATCTGTGAATATTTCTCGTCTACAACACATTATTGATGAATCCAATTTATTGAGTTTCATCATTAGTCTATTGTTAAAATAAACCACAAAGTGATAAAAACAAACAATCAGTCAAGGTCACATACTTCAAGTGAAATATTCATATCATTGATCAATATAATTGTACTAAATCAATGAAAATTCTGCATTTGTAAAATGACTGAATTGTGAGAGACATAGAAATCGGATTCAACTGCTACGATTCACAATTGACAACTCGTTCGAAAATATCATCATGTGAAGTTCATTTAAATATTCGGGAGTAGAACAATCTTGTGAACAATAATTGTGCAGATCATTAATGTAGAATTTACTAGTCCCGACATCGATCACTCATCAATACCGAATTGCTGTGCAACAAACTATTCTATCATCACTGTTTATTTTCCAGATAGTATTCAAAGAGCGGAACAAATACAAACAACAACCATTCTTCTTGTGTCCTCTTCAGTCACTAGATTCCAAAATTCACCAAACAAAATCATCGCACGTAAATGCCAGTGCTATTCATTCAGTTTTGAAACCAATCCATGTCATCACACACATGTTTGTCTACATCAAACAACCACTAGTCATTCGACGTAACCACTTTCTCTCCAAATAGCGTGAAACCTAGATCAACTGGGGCATTCTATCGACCGTCTCCAACCAACAAATTACATCTCAACACAATGCATGCTATATCGATTCACACAGGCTAGTATCCATATTACAATTCAATCGATAGAATTCGATCACAAACAAGAAGGATATGAAAGACATACAAAACATTGGTCACTACCCAGTGATCAATCAAATTTTAACAGATAAAGCATTGTTTTAAAATGTGGTCACCAATCAGCATCGAGTAATGCAACATCACGTGAGTGCTTTCCAGAGCAAAAAGCATTCAAACGAGAAGTACAGATCCTGTTGAAGGATCTCTTCTCACATGAAAGGAATAAAAGACGAAGAGTAATCAAAGTGTACAAGGAATGCTACACTCTCAGTCAGACCTAACCGATACATTAAATAATTAAACGATCAGTATCATAGTAGATAGTTAATAGGAAATCTCTTCATCGTATAGTCATAAAATAATGTGACATTAGAATTCGTGACCATTCACGACTAATTTTGAAAATCTCTTCTTCACAGAGTAGATCAACAACCGAATTGAATGGAGACAATTTTGAATAAGAGATTCTGTGTTGGTATAAATGGTGAAGGGGAACAAAGTAGAATATTTAGTGAGTATTTGTGTGTATGCTGGTGAGTGTGACATATGTGAAATTTGTAATGTGGAGTAGATGTGAAATTGAATTCGGATGTGTGTTAAGGGTGTGAGAAAGGAATGGAATTTCTTCACACTATAAATTTTACATACTTCACACTCACAATCATTATTAGGCACACAAGTACTCATGATGTTGTCTCACTCAGAACCATTTTGACTTAAATGGCAATAACTTCGATAAAGTCAGACCTAATGTGATTTAGATTTTGTCTTGCTCCACCTCAACATTTAGACTAACACAGAATCTCCTATTCAGAATTATCTTCATTCAATTCGGTTATTGATCTACTCTGTGAAGAAGAGACTTTCAAAATTAATCATGAATAGTCACAAACTCTAGTTTCTACTCATTCAATTATCACAAATCTATCATTAGTTTACGACTAACAATCTCCAATGCACAATTTACTTTAAATTGTCCAGTGAAAATTCGATAACTACACTCACTATCACACTCATATCTTGTACACAATATTCGACCGCACAGACCAAAAATAGTTGATATCCTCCGTTTCAAAATCAACTCCTCATCGATTCACTCAAATTTATCTAAATACATTCGACACATGAACGCTTGCATGAATTCACCTATTTAACAGCATTTCGTTTCAAAATGAAATTATTCATCTCCACGTACACACAAACATCACACTTGTTACATGCATACAATCTCTGATTACGTAGATGGCAAATTCAACTAAATTCAATCTGCTCTGACACATTCATTTTCCATTGATAAACACCATCGCCTAACATTCTACACGAGACCAATAACCAATGTTTGCTAAACATATTGATCACGAAAATCACTGGTCGACAAGCTTCACAAATAACTAAAACACACAATAACCACAATTCAACAACAATAACAACAACAACCACAACAGCAACAGAAAAGTAAATTACCTTGAATTCTCATCATCACACTCTGATTGGTTTATCTGTACTAGGTCACACTTTGAATATGGCTGTATTGACAGAATCTGTCTGAGATGGATGATACATATAAGTTCATTGATTGGTCGTCTACTATGTCCAATGTAATTGTGTATAACAGAAGAATAAAATAGGTCAAGTTGTTTTCTGTCAACAAATCATCGGACGTGTGTGGACATACTTGGTCGTTCTCTCATTCACTAAACTACTTCTATTCATGTACGTTGTCTACATTTTCCTCTCTATGTTTATTATTGTCATGGTAATTTGCGAGTCAATGTGTAAGTGACATGTTTAAACACTTCGTGGCGAGTGATTTTATAGGACAAGTGTTGAGGTCTCAAAGTGAGATGTCGGTTCAATTAGAATGCATCGATAACGGATATTTGTAATTGTAATAGATTGCTCATTTCATTCAGCAGATAACTACACACTGTATTTGTCTGTTTGTGGAATTTATTCTACACGTGATGAGACTGGGAAATTCGTGTTGATTTGGTTAGAATAATGCCAGTTGATTCTCATTCTTCAATGTTTTGTTTATGGTGACTAGTTTACTGCAGGAACGGAATCGTTGTGTGAATATGTTCGTTCACTTACGCTAATGGATTCACGAGGCGTTTAAGACCCACTTGTGTCACCATGAGTTCTGGATAGATTAGTAACTCTGATACTGTGAATATATATGATCGATTTGTTCGTGATTGTTTGCCTTCAGACAGCGTATATTCTCCACGAATCTCAAGATGAGTCCATTTACAAAACTCAAGTCTAATTGATTTGCCTATACAGTCACAGAATTTAGGATAGACAGATTGGTTATCTTTCAATCTTGCAGCTTCTAATCGGAACGTATGTAACACCTCTTATTGGTTAACAAGTTTAACCAATAACGGGCCTTGTGCAGTTATAAGCATATTACAGCTGTAGTGTAACGCACAAACCGTTGTAAAAATCCTCTTGCACTTTATTCATTTATTATTTATTTGAACACATAAATATTGGTGCAAAGGAGCACCGATTACATATGCGCCACACAAGTCACTTGATTTGCGTGTGGGCTGTGATACTGCCCGAACAAAAGCAGGTGGTTTTCTTATGGGGCTATACCCGGAGCCTTCAACATAAAGTTATGACCCACAAGGCAGTGGAGCAACATTAGGAGATGCAGTCCCATGGTAGCCGGTAACCAACGACTGGTCCATGCGTCATTTGTTCCTTCAGGATCCTAGAACCGGTGTGAACCACTGGTTTGGAGTCAGGGTTTTCCAACTCTTCTAGGTGGACTCTTCGTTTCCACCAAGCCGGTTAAAGCGCTGGAATTCGCTTTTCGTCCACTCGATTTCGTAAACACTTAGTTTCAACAAAGTTAATTTGTTCATATTTGGTTGTGTGGATTGTTGATTTCCTTCGAAATCACGAACTGATCAAAGACAATCACTGAAAATCTGGAAGCATTCGACAGCCTAAATAAAGACCTAAGTGTGGTTTATGTTTAACCTCATTTGATCAGTCTTAAAAGTGACCATGATTCAGTTGACACTGGTGCTTAGGACGAAAATAGATTGTTGGGTTATCAATGGGAAATTATTAGTTTTAATTTCGATGATACGGATAATCATCTAAGTCTTTTTGCAGATAATAAAGTTGTTTGTTCAACACAAAAATAGGCCAACATTGTTCGTAAATGTAAAGTGAGACTAGGTCTGCATCAGAAACGTGTCAAGTAGTTCTACTAGATTTGAAGAAATGAATGAATCCTTATTTTCTATTTTATGGTATGATGCGATCTAGTTTGCTTGCATAAACGATGTCTGAAATATATCATTCATATAGTGGAAGCTGATATCGGTGTTCTGAACCGAAGAGACAGGGCATAGGCAAGAAGGGCCAATAAGGATTCTAGGCTTCTCGTGCCGATCGATACGTCATTGGTTTGGTACAGTGCTAAGATTGTATAAGTTGTGTTCTGATTGGCGATCTTATCATGTGTTAATTAACAGACCACAAGACAAAACAGAATTGGGTTATTTTTAACCATCAAAACATCTAAAAAGTAAAACAACTTAAAATGTATTTGTAATATAGATTATTGTTATGTATTTTATCTTTAACTCTATGGCGTAGAATGATTGAATTAAATAAGACCTCGAATACAAACTTCCCTGAGTATAGATTTAAGCAATTTAATAAATTGGCATGTATAGTAGTAATCAACAAATTATAATAGGATTGAATGAATGTAGCTCAAATGAAGTAATAACAGTTTTGGATTAATACCAGAATAAGGGTATCTATTCATATGACAGAGTAGACTATTCGAATTACATTAATCATATGTTTGATATGATACTCATATTTTCATTCATAATTAGGAAAGTTATCAGATGTTAATATATAATTGTTTGTATTAAGAACAGAACAGTGGTGATAAATGATTTTACAAATATTCATAGAGTTTCTATAAGATCTTTTGATCTTTACTTACATTTAACAGACTATTAAATAGGACGAAACGGCCATCCAGTGCTTCCAGGTTTTTCATGGTGGTTTAGATTCGATTGACTGATGTTCTCAACCATTGAAATCATTATTAAGTGCTATGATGAGAAATCAAGATCACTGGAAAGACAATTGACCTACCGTATAAAAATACAACAATCACAATATTATGGTTTATTCTTGATAAATCGTCACTTTTAGTCTGGAATAGCATATACTGTCAGATAATTCGTATTCACTTACACAGATATTAGTCAATTGCATAACATGAGTAGGTTATGAATATCAGATAAAATTGATATTCAACAGTAAAGGAAAAGATACATTGTCTGAACCTCACTATTGTAGAACCATACTAATTGTGATGCAAGCAAACTAGATCTTCAAATACACTGTTCAAAATAGATGTATGAGATAACATGACTGGACTAATAAAAATGATGAATTGTTGCTGAATCCGACGAATTACAGTGCTTATTGAAAGTAGAATCTTCACTGATCGTTTAAATAACTATATTTTTTGATCGGCCATCTAGGTGAAGGGACAGTCAGTAAACTAATCAAGTATCAAACCCTTGAAAATGTTATTGCCTCTTTGATCCTCGCCTTTATCAATCCTCTCCCCTATTGATATGCACTCTTTTTAGAATGAATCCAGAAGTAAACCTAATTGTAATTGAATTGGATTTACATCGACGCTTACACTCGAATCACCAGCAATCGTATTAGAATGGAAATAATACCGACAACAGAATACCCACCAGTTATATTATAGTAAAATAATTTCAGGATTGCATTAGACTAGTTTAATTTGCGTTGTATTGAAATGAATTCAAACTGTCCAAAGTGTGAATTAGTCAATGTGCCTTAAATATTTGTAGATCAGTATAATACTGAAATGTGATTAAGAGACTGATAGATAACCAAACAGATGGATACGCAACAGAATAAAGAGATATTATACGGAGTCACATGTGAAGCATTCGAATCAATCACACAACTTAGCGCAAATTAACCAACAGGATTGTAGTAATGAATTCGATAATCATACGCACTGCCAAATACTATATTTCAAAAGGTGTATCCAGTTCTGTGAATTTAACATGATATTATTAAGCATCATAATTATTTATTCGGTTTTAGAATGAATATTGTACATAATGCCAAAGAAGCTCATCTGTCTTGGTTACCTTCTACCAGTGGATCACCTCCACCGCCAAATGCGCTCCAAGCAGATTCTGGCATTTGTGTGATTCGTGGCAGAAAGGGTGGACATTTAATACCAGGTAAAATGCTTCTCAGAACTGGTACAGCTTCTATACTTTACGAAGGAAAAGAAACTCCACTTTCTGAATTTGAAATTTTGTGCACCACGAACGTACATTCAAATCAAACTTTGTAAGTAAGATGAAAAGCTTAAATTTATTATGTTTTCCATAAATAATCATATGATGTGTTTGCCAATTAAATATGGATAATTTGTCAACCAGAACATGCGAATAATGAGTTCCAAACACTCGGCCGAGTAGACAAAGACCAAGTAGTAAGTGAGAGATGCTGATTAGTTCAGGCTCTTAATGAGAATCCAGCTGAACCTTCCGAGGACATAAACACACTATTGGTTAAAATTAGTGTCTGGTTTTATAGGTGAATTGCTCATATATGCTTGAATCTGTTTAACCGATAAAACTTCCTGATAACTTTTGATTTTATCACTCAAGAAGCTGGCTGGACTCGCATATAAGAAGCTTGCACATCAGTTTCAAACTCAAACGACCATAAAACATAAAAGAATCTAAATTACCTTCTTGTCAAAACTTGTGAATTATGAGTGGATTTATGACACGCGAAGCCTCAATCCACTATTATTATTCTGATCTATACAACTCTGACGATGCTGAAGACATCGTTGAGTTAATCAGGATCAATAAAAAGTGATTTAAATACACCGGACATACTGTAAAATTAAGTGTTCTTTTAATTTATTATTTATATTGATAAGTCTTACGAAAACTTATGCAGTTATGCATTTGTACTTCTATAAAATATGAGGATCGATTTAATGGAATTCGAGCAACTTTCGGAGTTTATAGCAATCATAAGTTGACATGAGTCACAGCCAATGTAACTTGGTTTTCTAGACTGTTTTGATATTAACTATGTGATGATAAAGTTAATAAGGTTTAGGCTTGTCATAGATTTAGATCATAGTTTATTGGCCGTGATTTCAGGTATGATTGGTGAGATGCGTGCTTTTTACAAATTCATTTGAAGTCTATGTGTAATACACTGTTGTACTTTCTCCGTCATATATACTTGTACAAGTTGTGTGTAGTTTTATGGAAAATTTATGACAACCATCAAATTGAATTGAATGATTGTACATATATGTAACCAATATTATTGATAGTATCCCCAATATTGTCAGATATATATATATATATATATATATATATATTCATAGATGACTCAAAAAAGGTATTCTGTATGGTCATTCGAATTTCAACCGAAAGTGTATGTAAATACATGAATTATATGAATGAACAAATATAATTAAGTGAATTCATTTAAATTCAATTGTGAAGTTGTATTGTACATTGATAATAAGTGAAATCTTAATACATTATCCAATGACCAACAGACAGAACTAAATATTTTATTGGTAATTTTCAAAATTTCATAGTGACCAATTGATACAGAACTTTGCTTATAATGTATGGAATACTGGATCTCAAATCAACAGATGGATGCCGTATATGGTGTTCGAAGCCGATTCTGATATTCTTAACTTCGATTAACTTGACATAGTATTTAGAAATCGATAATGAGTCTCAAGTGAATATGTTATAACCTGTGATCCTTGTGCCCTGTTAACATATCGCCAATTAGAGTCACCAACTTATTAACCGGATCAATGACGTATAAACCAGTACGAGAAGCCTAGAGTTCGTATTGGTCCTTGAGATAGCAACTTATCGTCTAATCCATCCGATTCAATCACTAACACAAATATCAGCCTTCGTTATATCTAATCATATATTTCAAACACTTGGTTTATATACATGAAAAATCAGACCACATCATACCGTAAAATAGAAAATTAGATTTGTAGAAGATCAATCCAAAAAGTGGCTGTGATTGTGAGAGACTAAGACTAATAAATTAAGAGTAGTAGAACATAGAACATTAACCAATAGGTCAAATAAAAGCTTATAATAGCAGGAATATAAACATATATATATAGTTTAGTTTCTTAACAGTTATACAATAAGATTATATGTATAATATTAGACCATAAATAGTTCTGAGTTACCTAGAATTTAATCTTCTCTAGGATATAATAGAATACAATACCTATTCAGAACTCTTTGTGATTTTCAATAATTTATGTTATAAAAATCCCGGAACAGATGAATAAGTAATAACCTAACCAGACGTTACAACTTATCATCTACTTATAAATGGACATTACTGTTGCTACCATAGAGATTAATTTCACTAAACCACTTTATAATTAACACCCAGTTAAATTAGGTTTTTAGAAACATTCGTTTTCGTATAATAGTTGAATAATAAATAAATAAAAACACCATATATATATGAATCATTAGCTAATGAACTAACAACTACCACGACCTCGCCCACTGCGAGATTCGAACCCAGGGCCTACTGGGTTCGCACGCGAGCACTTAACCACTAGACCACTGAGCCGGCACCCAACGGTGTGGATGCGCACTACTGAGGAGTCCCACAATAGGACGAAACGGCCGTCCAGTACTTCCAGGTTATCCATAGTGGTCTAGCTTCAATTGACTCATGATCTTAACCATTGAAATTACTACAATCTCCACAAAACCCATCTGATATTAATCAACATATGCTCACTAGTGACTGGCTCACGAGGTATATCCTGAAGTTCTAGTGAGAAGTAGTGTCCAGTGGAGTTCAACCAGATCTGTTGTGAGATAGTAACTCACTGAAGACAATGGTGGATGTGTCGCTCAATTTCGTGGATTAGTTGAAGTTAGACATTAACACCGTTGGATGCCGGCCAGCTCAGTGGTCTAGTGTTTAAGTGCTCGCGTGCGAAACCAGTAGATCATGGATGCGCACTTCTGTGGAGTCCCACAATAGTACGAAACGGCCTTCCAGTGCTTCCAGGTTTTCCATGGTGGTCTAGCTTCAACTGACTCATGATCTTAACCATTGAAATTACACTAAATATGTTTTTTTCTTTGTAGTTTAGATCATCAATCCAGTGCACACTTACAATCTCATGAGAAAATGAACTCACAAACTATAGGTATTGTGACAAATGTGTTAAATCTAGTGTATCAACCTAAAATTCAGTAGTTTATATTTCCCAATCTAGACAATTCGAGAAATTTAATTAGTGAATAAAACTGTCTATAATTACATAAACTACTTAATTTAAGAATATAAACTTAAGTTCACATATTAGTGTAGAATTTAAAATGATCGTTTTCTTGCAATGTAATACAACAGATAATCTATTCAGCATGTGTAACTTATAAGAAACATTGTTTATATATTTTATAATTTGTTTTAAATTACATATCAATAAAATGTTTATTTCAACTAATCCTCACATATTTTTCTTATTTTCTTAATTGTATAAGATATCAGTGGGTTCCAGCATCTTCCGGTAGAGTTCCAGCTAATGCATTACTTGCTGGTATAACTAACACAAGTGAACCTTTATATATTACTCGTGCTATGGTACAAGATGAATTGTGTATTGGTAAAGTTAACTGTTCCCAAAAATTTGCAAGTCTTCCTTACAAGGGTAAAGAAAACAAAGTGAAACATTATGATGTACTATGTTTTATAGAACAGAAGGATTAAGATTTTCTATTTCCACATTTCAAGTAATATAATGTGAACTGTACTTAAACGAACATATGTTTGCTGTATATTAATAATAATGAAAGCATCATAACTTCTTAATTCTATTAAAAAGTCTAATAACTCGAGTGAGATACGCATGAATCCGAAGTTCGTGAAACAACGGTTTGTCTAAATAACAGTTCCTTATTCAGAAATAAACATAAATTTCTTACAAACCTCAACTTGTGAGGTATTAATGGCGTTCAGCGTGTCTGTATATCTGGAAAGAGAAAGCCTTTCTGAAATGATAACATAAAAAAATAATTGCGACAAACGACAGTGTGAATGAAAGCCGATAGCCGTGTTTAATTTTAGCAACCGTTTATCAACAAGCAAAAAGGGAACCATTATGTTCTATGCTAATTCTTAAGCTTTACTTTAATTTTGTTAGCAGGTCGAACACATAGAATAACTAGTGCATTGTGAACTTTTTTCTATGCATGTTCAAATTTAGAACTGAGATTTTCAAGTATATGTTGAAATGCTGCACACATAATCCCATCACTGGATAGTCAGAAAGAAACTAATTCTCACTAAAGTAATGTAAGCTTAATTACACGTACTAGTAAATGTTTTTGCGATTTCAATAATAAGTTAAATTTTTATACTTAACAAGTCGGTAACTACGTCAATTGAGCTCACAAAACATCTCTATCATGAATTCACTACAAGTAAATAACACCGTGAAACCTACAAATAAGATGATTCCTTGTACACTATTGGGTGCCGGCACAGTGGTCTAGAGGTTAAGCGTCCGAGAGTAAGACTGAAAGTCCTGAGTTCGGTTACCGGTTGCCAGGGACGTTGATGCACACTCCTGAGGAGTCCCGTATCAGTCTTAGATTTCATTGAAGGATTTGTCGAGTTTAAAACGCATCTTCAATGTTTTGATGATCGTAAATGTCAAACATTTTGGTAAATCATCTATTAAAATGTATTAGGATTAGAATAACCTGTTAAGTGGAATACTTTTGGATAATTTAGCGAAATCCCGTTGATCTAGACACTGTATTCAGTGAAGAGTGACAATTAGTTTCTTCCTTTAACGCTGTTTCATATACTTTTTGTGATGATAATTTTTTACCACAAGCTCACATTTATTTCCAACTAATTCTACACTTACAATTGAAATGATAACTCTGTACCAAAGTGAGAATTGATGCTATATGGCATGTGCAAACATTGAAACTACAATTCATGACGTCTCTAAAATTATGTTACAATATGACAAATTTATTGATAACATGAATGCAAACAAGATATATAATATAATCTACGATTCACTGAGCTGATGTGACTGATTGTCGTCTAGTTATCCACCAAAATAATGTTTTCTCCAATCAACATAACCACTCAAATTGTCCACTCCTTCCACCGACAACACATCACATCACATCACGTTGTCAAACTTCACACCAAATACACATGTTCACTCAGTCACCAATACATGTACTCAACATTTGATCAATTCAATTCAATTCCATAGAGAAATCCAACTGACTGTGTAAGAAGATCTGGTTTGTGAACTATGGTAATAATAACTCGTGTTTAATCATCCATAGATCGTCGATATGTGGGTGCAAACAATTTGCAAGAGCTGATAGCTCATTTCCATAATGTGTCTCATCAACTCACTCACACTAGTATGGCTTCGTTATACCAATTCGGTGAGTCGCGTCACTTGTGGAAGCCACTTCTGTTCTGTTCTGTTCGGTGAGATTTGGATCATCGGAATCATGTTGATTCTCACTGTATTTTGTTGCTCACAAGAAAACTCGATATGATTGTGTGGCAATCTCCAATGAAGCATCTAAACGTGAAATCGAAACAACGAACAGATGCATAGTTGAACGAGATTCGAGAAACAAACTCCCATACTTCCATACTCCCTAACTATTCCAAATCGTCTCACGAATTCCATTTGATTGTTAGTGACTAGCGACATGTCTCATAGTTACAAGATCAAAACACACATGATTATTCCATTTGAGTATGGATAAGCACTGTATTCATCAGTTGTTACAATGATCGTATTCAGGTTTGTATTGATTAGTTGTTGTATCAAGTGATGATGCGTACTTGAAGAACACACATTGAGTATTCAGTCAACGTGAAATGAGAGATGAAAGCGTAATTTGGTGATAGTGGAACACGATAGTTAACTTCAATCAACATACACAAATATGTTAATGATGTAGAAATACCTTGACAGTTTACTAACTCAGCATAAAATATCTGTGAATATTTCTCGTCTACAACACATTATTGATGAATCCAATTTATTGAGTTTCATCATTAGTCTATTGTTAAAATAAACCACAAAGTGATAAAAACAAACAATCAGTCAAGGTCACATACTTCAAGTGAAATATTCATATCATTGATCAATATAATTGTACTAAATCAATGAAAATTCTGCATTTGTAAAATGACTGAATTGTGAGAGACATAGAAATCGGATTCAACTGCTACGATTCACAATTGACAACTCGTTCGAAAATATCATCATGTGAAGTTCATTTAAATATTCGGGAGTAGAACAATCTTGTGAACAATAATTGTGCAGATCATTAATGTAGATTTTACTAGTCCCGATATCGATCACTCATCAATACCGAATTGCTGTGCAACAATCTATTCTATCATCACTGTTTGTTTTCCAGATAGTATTCAAAGAGCGGAACAAATACAAACAACAACCATTCTTCTTGTGTCCTCTTCAGTGACTAGATTCCAAAATTCACCAAACAAAATCATCGCACGTAAATACCAGTGCTATTCATTCAGTTTTGAAACCAATCCATGTCATCACACACATGTTTGTCTACATCAAACAACCACTAGTCATTCGACGTAACCACTTTCTCTCCAAATAGCGTGAAACCTAGATCAACTGGGGCATTCTATCGACCGTCTCCAACCAACAAATTACATCTCAACACAATGCATGCTATATCGATTCACACAGGCTAGTATCCATATTACAATTCAATCGATAGAATTCGATCACAAACAAGAAGGATATGAAGGACATACAAAACATTGGTCACTACCCAGTGATCAATCAAATTTTAACAGATAAAGCATTGTTTTAAAATGCGGTCATCAATCAGCATCGAGTAATGCAACATCACGTGAGTGCTTTCCAGAGCAAAAAGCATTCAAACGAGAAGTACAGATCCTGTTGAAGGATCTCTTCTCACATGAAAGGAATAAAAGACGAAGAGTAATCAAAGTGTACAAGGAATGCTACACTCTCAGTCAGACCTAACCGATACATTAAATAATTAAACGATCAGTATCATAGTAGATAGTTAATAGGAAATCTCTTCATCGTATAGTCATAAAATAATGTGACATTAGAATTCGTGACCATTCACGACTAATTTTGAAAATCTCTTCTTCACAGAGTAGATCAACAACCGAATTGAATGGAGACAATTTTGAATAAGAGATTCTGTGTTGGTATAAATGGTGAAGGGGAACAAAGTAGAATATTTAGTGAGTATTTGTGTGTATGCTGGTGAGTGTGACATATGTGAAATTTGTAATGTGGAGTAGATGTGAAATTGAATTCGGATGTGTGTTAAGGGTGTGAGAAAGGAATGGAATTTCTTCACACTATAAATTTTACATACTTCACACTCACAATCATTATTAGGCACACAAGTACTCATGATGTTGTCTCACTCAGAACCATTTTGACTTAAATGGCAATAACTTCGATAAAATCAGACCTATTGTGATTTAGATTTTGTCTTGCTCCACCTCAACATTTAGACTAACACAGAATCTCCTATTCAGAATTATCTTCATTCAATTCGGTTATTGATCTACTCTGTGAAGAAGAGACTTTCAAAATTAATCATGAATAGTCACAAACTCTAGTTTCTACTCATTCAATTATCACAAATCTATCATTAGTTTACGACTAACAATCTCCAATGCACAATTTACTTTAAATTGTCCAGTGAAAATTCGATAACTACACTCACTATCACACTCATATCTTGTACACAATATTCGACCGCACAGACCAAAAATAGTTGATATCCTCCGTTTCAAAATCAACTCCTCATCGATTCACTCAAATTTATCAAAATACATTCGACACATGAACGCTTGCATGAATTCACCTATTTAACAGCATTTCGTTTCAAAATGAAATTATTCATCTCCACGTACACACAAACATCACACTTGTTACATGCATACAATCTCTGATTACGTAGATGGCAAATTCAACTAAATTCAATCTGCTCTGACACATTCATTTTCCATTGATAAACACCATCGCCTAACATTCTACACGAGACCAATAACCAATGTTTGCTAAACATATTGATCACGAAAATCACTGGTCGACAAGCTTCACAAATAACTAAAACACACAATAACCACAATTCAACAACAATAACAATAACAACAACAACCACAACAGCAACAGAAAAGTAAATTACCTTGAATTCTCATCATCACACTCTGATTGGTTTATCTGTACTAGGTCACACTTTGAATATGGCTGTATTGACAGAATCTGTCTGAGATGGATGATACATATAAGTTCATTGATTGGTCGTCTACTATGTCCAATGTAATTGTGTATAACAGAAGAATAAAATAGGTCAAGTTGTTTTCTGTCAACAAATCATCGGACGTGTGTGGACATACTTGGTCGTTCTCTCATTCACTAAACTACTTCTATTCATGTACGTTGTCTACATTTTCCTCTCTATGTTTATTATTGTCATGGTAATTTGCGAGTCAATGTGTAAGTGACATGTTTAAACACTTCGTGGCGAGTGATTTTATAGGACAAGTGTTGAGGTCTCAAAGTGAGATGTCGGTTCAATTAGAATGCATCGATAACGGATATTTGTAATTGTAATAGATTGCTCATTTCATTCAGCAGATAACTACACACTGTATTTGTCTGTTTGTGGAATTTATTCTACACGTGATGAGACTGGGAAATTCGTGTTGATTTGGTTAGAGTAATGCCAGTTGATTCTCATTCTTCAATGTTTTGTTTGCATTGACCAAAT